TGTTATATATACAACACAATTTGTTTTCTCAGGTGCCTACAGATGAAGATGAAGTTAACCTCCCAAAACTAAAAACACTTTTTCCACATTTTTTGGATGTCAATATGAGAGATGTTCATACTTTTTGGTCACAAAACAGATCTGAATCACGTACTACCGAAAGATGGGAAAGCATAGGGCCTGTGGAAGTGATATCATCTGAAGGTTTGGATTTTTATGTTTCGGGTAGGGTAAAACATATAGATTATGTAAATAAAGATCTCATCAGGTTTGTGAGTGCTAGTGGTGGACTTTTCGATGCACAAAAGAAGGATAACAAATGGGATATAAGGAACATATCTAGTCATGCTGTTACTACTACAGTTGGAGGCGCTTCTGATACATCGCCTTTTGATCCTAATTATATCCTTTATGGTACAGGTGATCACATATTAGGAAGAGGTACAGGATTATGGAAAACTACAGATGGTGGCACAAACTGGGAAAGGATCAACCTTCCTGATGCGAATTATTTTCATGAAGTAAAATTCAGTAATAAACATGGAAAAATATGGGCAGGTGGCAATGGCCTTTACTCATCAGATGATAATGGGATTACATGGAAGACTCATAGGTTTGGAGATTTTTCGTCAGTTGTTATAGATCCAAATAAACCAGATACAGCCTTTATTAGTGATTTTGGTAAAGGTATTTTTAGGACCTTTGATGGTGGTACTACTTGGACTAAACTTACCAATGGGCTTCCTTCAGAAAATATCAACAGGATTGAACTCACCATATGTGACCAGCAACCCAATGTACTTTATGCATGGATTTGTAATGAATTAGATGCTACAAAAGGAGTTTGGAAAACGATAGATCATGGTGAAAACTGGACAGAATGTATCATTCTTAATTCAAATTACGAACCTGCAGATAATATTCATCTGGAAGCAGGTGACTTTCATTCTACCATCAGTGTATCACCTACAAATCCCGATAAAGTGCTTATAGGTGGATGGTGGTATGCCGTCACCGATAACGGTGAGATATTTATCGGCCCCAACTCAGGATCTCATGTGGACTATCATCATGCTACCTGGGATGACGAAGGGGAGACCATTTTTATGGCTACTGATGGAGGCGTCACTTATATGGATTTTGATGAAATCACCATTTTTGAAGATAACGTTGAGAAGTTAAAGACAGATCTGATCAAAGTGCCGACCTTACAATTTGTGAGTTTGTCAACAGGGAAAAAATCGGACTTTATAGTAGGTGGTACCCAAGATAATGGTTTTATTTTTTACCATTCAGATAGAGATAAGTGGTTTTATAGAGTAGGAGATGGAGGTGATGTCTCAGCACATTATGAAACAAATCATGCATTTCATGGTACGGAAGGAGTATATGATGGACCACTTACCTTCAAGAATAAAGGTAAATTTACAGATAACACGGATGACTTTTATGATATCAATATGGGCTTAAGGCCTAGTGGTGAATGGTTCAGACGTGTGGGCAACTCATATAGTGCAGATATCATACTATTTACGCAGACGGATCAGCATTTTTATTACTCGACTACTTTGGGTTTCCCATGGATACCGTATGATGTTCCTACTTTTGATGTAGGCTCTATTAATGCTATGTGTAGCCCTCATGACCCTAATCCCATAGTATTTGTTTCTGGCAATGGCAGTCCCGCTACATCCATCATGAAAGTAGATTTGACAAAACTAACTCATGAGTTTGTATCAGCAGGCTTGCCCATCCAAAAAAACATCTCTTGGCCCCAAGTGTACACCAGTCCTTCGCCCAACCTAAAACACAAAGTGTATACCTTTATACATGCTCCAAATGGACATACCCCAAGTGCCAAAATATTTACATCTGATGCATCATCCATAAATTGGGTCAATATCACAGGTAACTTACCTGATATTTATATCACGAGTATGTTTGTGCATCCGGATGATGAAAATTTTATTTTGGTAGGATCGGATGGATTTGGTGTTTTTGTTACTAAAGACGGTGGTAAAAACTGGAATCCTTACAATACTGATCTGCCACAAGGATGTCTGATCACTGACTTTGACTACCAAATACAAGGAGAAAAGCTTTATGTCATCATGGCAACTTATGGCAACGGCCTTTATAGATCAGAACTTCCTTCCAATACAGTTCAAACTGAGGATACAAAACAAGAAAACCTTAGCATGACCATCCATACCAATGGTGACATAGCCAGAATTTTCCTGCCAACTGCTATTACAAATGATATCAATATACACTTATTAGACATCAAAGGTAATTTCATCGCTAATTTAACTAATATCACTTTCCTTAGTGAACATATTTTGGAGACTTATCAGGATTCGAGTTAACGAGTTTTCACTGTATGTTTGCAGGTACAGCCACGAAACCTGCACTGAATAAACCATTTTTTCTCAAGGCAATTTCATGTCCCCGTCTTTCCTCCCAATATTACATCAATTAGGATGCATGTGGCCATGAAGCGCTGGTTGTTTTCAGCTAATTTAGTAAATCATCAAGAAGAGGAACGTGTTAAAGTAACACCACATACTTTTCCCATGAAAAAGGAACTAGTTACCAGTTCCGTTACCCTCCCCTGAAAAGTAACTNTAGTTACCAGTTCCGTTACCCTCCCCTGAAAAGTAACTCGTTACCTCAAAAGTTACTGAAAAAAGTAATTAGTTACTGTAACGCGTTACTTTTACTTCGTTACCGCCCAACACTGATGCTACAATTCTGGGCAAGAACTGTCCTCTGCCAACATGGTGGTGCTATCATTGTGAGACAAAGACCTATGCTGATATTCTTCCTTTTTTTGGTTGGATACTTGTATCCATTTGGCTTACACCAAATTATACTGGAGTCATGAATGGGTCATGAATGATTGTGTGCAAACTCATGGCTAATCCCTTCTTCTGTGCCTTTGGCATCCAGAGACATGCATCTATTTGATATAAACATCTTTTCCACTCTTTCTATGTTCATGTCTATGATGACAACATTGGCCTGTGTGGCTTGGGGTTTGCCCTCAGTGTTAAACCTTTCCATGGTAGCATCTCTATTTGGAGACATAGCTTGAAATTCATTCAAAGCTTGTAGCATCATGTGCAGCAAAGGTTTGGAGGAAAACAGGTCCAATTGAAAGAATGAAATGTCATCCAGTCTGCGATATAGCAATGAGCCTCAGTTACAAGCAAGTTTTTGCTTGAGTTCAGTGCATCTCTGACAACTCACGTTTTAATTTTCCATGGAAAGGGTTAATGTGTCCACCATAAAACATTTTGCACTTTTCATGTACTCTTCCCTGGGATAAATATTCCACCCCATAAATGGCAACAATTCTGTGAAGAAAGTCAAGTGGTTTCCCATCTGTGTACAAAAACTGTATCACAACTCTCTGATGCTCCTTGGATGCCCCTTCACTGGAGGTGGCCATCTTTACTAGGTTATGGCATGAGCAAAGTTACAGAAGTAGTGATGTCAATAGCATTTTCAATGCTATTGAAATGCTATTCAATGCTATTATTCATGATGATGAAAATGCATCATTCTTATGCGCTTTAGTGTGAATTTTGCTGTTTTAAGTTAATTGGCCCCCATATGCCTTGGATTCATGTTGTATGGTATCGGCCTAAGGTAAGGGATGATATGAACTTATGTACTTGTCTCTGTAGTTCAGCATCAATGGGTTCAATGGTACTCTTTGCTAGACTTTTCATATGCATTCTCCTTTAATCCTCCATGAAAGATCTCAACATGTTTTACAACTCCTTTTTTTTCCTCAGGGAATGGAGACATTCAGCTGTGTTTCTCTCAAGTGAAGGGAACACTGGATGATGACATATCTGATGGTAGGTGGATTTTTGTCTTCAGCTATCCTTTTTATGTTGTAAACCTTTTTCAAACCTGTGCATTTGCTTGCAGAAACCATTAGTCTATCTTTTTCCTCAAAAATGGTTCAGTCTGGTTTTTATGAGCTTTAGTTAATTCCAAAGCATATGGAACTAGGGCTTCTATTTTCAGTAGGTCCTTATTTTGAAAATATTCCTGTTTGCCTGTAAATCAGCATAGTTGTTCTTAAAAAATTCAGAGATGAGGTCTTGTCAAGAATGTAATGCAGGGAAAGGAATTCAAATTGGGTTCTGTTCAAGTGCCTAGAATGGTATGTTGTGAAACTGAAGTGTGTAAGGATGTCTATTTTCAAAAGTTGTTGCCATTCATTTTCATCTTAGCGGATGTAATATCCTGTGTGGAGTTCAATCACGATGGAGATCTGCTGGCCACTGGGGACAAGGGTGGCAGAGTTGTCATCTTCCAAAGAGATCATGGAGTGAGCAATAGACCTTATGGTTTCAATGAACTTCCTTACCACAAAAGGCTATGGACCACCTCTAGTCATATCCTTTCTCTCTATATGAAGCTCTTCCTTTCATTTGCATTAATTAGGAATCGACACATGGGCAAGATGCAGACTGAGTTTGCCTTTTGGGGCAGTTCACACCAATGTTGACTTATACAGGATGGCACAAAATTCAGGACACAATTGGTTAACATTTATTTTAACAAATATTCAAACTGCTCGCCATTTGTATAAATACATGTTTCAGCTCTCTTTTCAAATGACAATAGGACTTTCATTAAGGTCAGTCAAACACACTTCCAGTGTCTTTGAAGTGCTCGATCACTTTACTTACGGCTGAAAATCCAACATTTCTGTCTGTTTGCAACAAATTAAATTTATCAGCAGTTGATCAGTATGTACTTTTGTGTCAATAAAAACTAATTGCACTCATTTGTTTTTAATCAATTTTCCAGCCATTTTCACCTTTTCCCTGAAAAAAGTAAAAAAATAAAACTACATTTACCATAATGTCTGTATACCCTGATTTTTGCACCACCCCGTGTATTATACATTTTTTTTATTCATGTATTCCTTCATGGAAGTTTCAACCTAGAAGTAAGAGATGTCTTACATCCATATCTTGCTTCCAACTCTTGTTCCACACTACTGCCTGCTCCAGAGTTGGGTAATTATTAACTGAATTTGTTGATAATTCTGCATTTCATTGCAGTTTTTGTAGTGTAATTACAGACAAAGTTTCAGTTGCAGCTATTTTAATTCCCAGACTTTAGTCATAGCAAAAACTAAAATAAACTTGTCCATTTTCATATTTGGTCCTTTTGTTGATTTGAACTGGTGTCCTGTGCAAGGTATGGGTCAAATAACCTTAACTTGCATAATTATTTAGAATTATTTGTGTTAGATTTGGTCAGCTTTAAATTTTTTGAGTTGCTTTAATGTCACATAAACATTTTTTGTTGTTTGCCTGAAATGCAATTGAGCTAGAATCTCTGAAAATGTTTATTTGTCATTTTTTAATTGGAAAATAATCAAAATGACATAATCCATAATTGGTAATGCATTATTGCCCTTTAAAGTATTTTTAATTTAGAAATATTTCATGGGTAGTAATTGTCATTACTAAAATACCTAATAATTGTCACTTGTGTCTAAATGTATAGGCAACTGATTGAGAAACAAATGGTTGGTGTAGAGATGTAGAATATTATGTTATTTAGTTCTATGATGTGATAAAGTAATATCCCTATCCTGTAAAAGAAGGCCTGCCTCTTAACTAGACTTGCCAAGCATGGTATTTTCTAACTTGTATAACTTAAATAGCACTCTTGCATAAATTGGTTTGTGTTGGTTTTTTTTACCTGTCAGTCGAAGACATCTATGCCAAGAAGGGCTGAGTACAATGTTTATAGCACTTTTCAAAGTCACGAGCCAGAGTTTGACTACTTGAAGAGTTTAGAAATTGAGGAGAAAATCAACAAGATCAGATGGCTCAGAAGAAAAAATCCTTCTCATTTCTTGCTCTCAACAAATGGTGAGAAAGACTTGTGCCATTATTAATTTATTCCTTGTGAATGACTTTTGAATAAGTTTTTTTAAATTCTTTTGTCAGACAAGACGATCAAATTGTGGAAGGTGTCAGAAAGGGACCGCAGGGTTGAAGGCTTCAACCTCAAGGAAGAGAATGGACAACCCAAGGATTCACCACCCTCTAGATTGACAAAGGACAGTTTGAGGGTAAGTTCTGCAATAATCTGGCTAATACTGGACTATATTTAGGAGAAAGACATGATTCACCAATTTTCCTTCTAATGTGCATGTGAATGTGGGAGGAGGGGAGTTGGGGGAGAACCAGGATTCAGTGAAGTGCATATTCTTTTATGAAGTAGGCAGTCTGTGTGAGGCATAACCAACAGCAATTGAGAATTGTAAGCTCATGTAACATTCTAGTCTGAATGCTGAAGCTAGCTTGAAACAGGATAGCAGAATGTATTGACTGGAAACTAAAAGCAAAGTATTGAACTGTTTAGTACAGACGTACATTTTGAGAAACTCTTAAGACCTCAAATTTTTTTTTATGGGGGCCTCCTTTGGGCCTTCCAAAGATCTCCCCAAATCCCAGTAATTCTAGCATGCCCTCATGTTGTGTACACTCCCTGCATGTAAAAATGTCTTTAGAAAAGATTGGGACTTGTGAGTCCTGGGCTTCTCTCAGGAGTCCTCAAAATTTCTCTACTAGCCTCAAGTTAGAAACCCTGCTCTGTAGGTTCCTGACCTTGTGTTACTCTTTACATTATCTTTCTTTGCCTGTATTGGGACACATTGACTTGAAAGCATGATAATACTCCATGGGCAGGACAATAAAGACCTGTCTACCATTTCACTTATCTCTTATCTTATCACCTGGGCTTATCAGGAATACTCCTCTTTAGTATTAGCTTCTCTACATTCTTCCTTTAAGGGAAATGGGAAAATGAAGAGAGTCAAATAATGCAGCCCCTTGCTTATGAAATAGTGAAGGAACCATATTTGATGCTATGATTTCCTTCAGAGAAATTTTTTATGACAGAGGAGCTGTAATTTTTAATTATTTATTCGTTTATTTCTGGGGGGAAAGGTAACATGGTCATTTGGTAGCAGAAGGAACATTTTTGCCAACATTTAACAATGTTGCTTTCATTTGATGGCAAGTTTGAATACATCCTGAATCTTCTGTTGTAGTGCCTATAACCCTTATACCCTCAAGAGGAATGACCTCTACATTCATTAGATTTTTTTTGGTCCTGTGTCATTAGAACCATCAGGAGGGTACTTGATCTCTAATGGGGGATGAACCTGTTACCTGAGGGAATAGTACCTTAGTATGAGTCTGTTTTGTCTCTTGGCATGACTCAAGTATACAGCAGCTCCCTAATAATATAATGAGTCATGTGGGCAAAGAATAAATGTATATACAGAAGCAGCATTGGGGTGTGGCCTGTGTACCCCTGTTTAGATTTCTCATTTGTAATGAGTTGACTCTCCCATGACGTATGCCCAGCTGCTTATGGGCCACAGTGAGGCAATGAAGATATGGGTTCACAGAATTTCCCTCCTTGGTCCATACAGGACTCTGTCATTTTATCTTGTTGAAACAAATCTGATGGTGTGCAGAAAGACTACAGAGAGATGTATAGTACTTTGTTTAGGTCTTGTCTAGTGCACCTGAAGAAAGAGCCTTGTCTGGATATTGATAAAATGAAGAAGCCATTAAACTGGGATTGAAAGTATAAGACCAGTCATAAAAATTAGGGATACACCGATCCAGGATTAACCGATACTGATCCCAGTGTCTTGGTATTGGCTGATCCAATACCAATACAGACAGCTCCCAGTGGCTGTCAGAAGTGAAACCACAATACAGAACCAGACCTTATTAGGCCTTATGCAACCTTTGGCATGGAAGGGAAGAAATAAAAAATCCTCAAACACTAATGACCCAGCGTTCAAAATTCCAGTCGTTTATTTAGCTCTGGAGACATTTATGTTGACCAATAAATAACTTCTTCAGTGTAGGCCAAAAGTTCCCCTGCCATTCACTGGGCCAGCCAATAATACATCAGATGTAGGTACTACGAACAAAGGACAATCAGTGCGAAGAGGAGGAGTAGGAACTACGTCTAATGTCCTTAAAGGATTAAGGAGTTGATGCAACTACAGCCAGGATCGGTGCTGGAGGTAGGATGGATGCAAGCATAAAGTGCACCTGCGCAAACCAGTCAGTGCAGGAAGGCAGGAGAGGGACGGAATGGGGGAAAGTGAAGGAATGAATGCATACGTGAATGACACTGGCCCATTCCATTTGTACAATACCCTTCTCAAATCTCTCACATTCCACTTTAACCATGCCCAAACTCATTGTCCATCAGTTGGAGATTAACAAGAACTATGACGGACTTAAGGAACTGTATGCCGTTACAAGTGGGTTTTTTTTCTTGAGACATTCCCAAAATTTACATACTGTGCATCATATGGCATGCAGCAAGGGAGAATCAGATCAGATTGGCATCAGCCAATCTGGGCCATTCCACTGAATATCGGCCAATACTGATATTTTGGATCAGTATCGGTGCATCCCTAATCAGAATTACCTGGATTTGGTTCCTACCAGAGTTAATGAATTTTCTTGACCTTTATTCCATGTCTCTCAGCATTATTATGCTGGTCTGCTTCTCTTGCATAGTGGAGACCAGTAATGTGTCTTGGTTCTCGAGCTGAAGCCAAGGACTGCAGCAAGTGAAATAAGTCACACCTGCTTATATATGTCCTTTTATTTCTTATATATGTCCATTCTGTGTCTCCATATAAGTGGTGACAATACTGACTTTTGATATGGTCCATAATATCACTGTACATCTTGATTCATGCAAGTTTTATAGACACTTATTCACAAAGTTTAAAATTTATTGACCCTACATTAGCATGCCAAATATCATCAATTTAGTCATCCATCCATGTAAAGAATGTCAATTGATAAATTTTTGTTATTACAGATAAACAGATTATTGATAATATTGTATTTTTAGTCATGATAGTCTTGGCATTACCATGATATCATTGCTCCTCTGATCCTGACCCACTGAAGTTTTCATACTGGAATGTTCTCTGTCATGAATTAAGGATTCTGAGGATCATGAATCACAGTATACATTGATAAGATTTCTTTGTTTGCCTTTGTGGAAAGCATCCATGGCCAGAAAAACATGGATACTCTTATTAGGGTTCAAAGATGCATGTATAGGTTTTCCAAGTCAAATATGGATACAAGAAAACCAAATGTGACAGGGGAATTCAACTGTATCTCATCCATATCAGGTGCCTGCCCTGTTGCATTTCTGCTACACACAACTCCCAAGTTCCTGCTTAAGCCTGCTTCTACTGCATTGACTATAACATCAGTTTGCACCTGGAATATTCCAAGACCAGCAGTAATAGAGTTAAGATACCACTACTATGGTCAATATAAATGCCAATTATAAGTAAGCAATCATTTTTTCACTGAGGAGATTTCATTTTATCTTCCTGACCATTTAATATCACATACCATCCATATTGAACAATGGTCAAGTAAAGTAAATTTTTACCAACTGAGAAAGAGAGATAATGAAAGAAAATGGGGTCTTTGCATGTCATGTTCATTTATCCACTTCACTGTCCTGAGTTTTTGCTTATGACTTTACCTCTACCCTGTTCTTTCTTAACCAGACAAGGTTTGTGTAGGTTCTGGTTTCCCTGTGTCTTTCCACTTGATTTTCTTGTCAGGTCTCTTCGATGCCCAGCAGCCAGCATAGTGGTGCATTTGATTTTTTAAGGATACTTTTGATGCACCACAGCAGTTCATCTGAATTTCCATGTTGTATTTGGCTTTCTTACATCTTTATTTTTGTCTTGGGAAAACCTATGAACCTAGTTTTTTAAAACTATTAAACAGGGTGTTCCACTTCAGATGCAATTTAAAAATGATCACTGAAACTGTGGGAGGAAGTGTAGAATTGATATTTGATGGAAGCATACCGGTTATGTATACTCACTACCAAAAAAAAAGACACAACCAAGAAGAAGCTGAGCAATCTTGATGAAATTTGGTATGCCCGCTTGGACCAGTGCACTGCGAAATTGATTTGAGTTTCAAGAGTGTGGGATGAATATTCATGAAGAAAACTTGCTAAGCACTCTAATTTCAAAAGGGGCTATAGGGTAATACTCATCACCCAAAACCATCACCTAGAAGAATTTTATCAATTAAGCATGGGAGGAAACTCCAAAAGATATTTATAAAACTGTAGCAAAGCTTCAAGGTTAAGGGATTTGTCAATGCAGAAAAACCTTGCCAAATACCCCAGGAATGTGGGAAGGGGACAGAGCCATTGTTGGTGCCAGTTTCCTTTTCTCTTCTCCCTTACACTCTTCCTTTTTGGGCTGGCATTGAAAGTCTAACTTTGATGTAGTGCCAAGGTGAAATCTCTGAAGGTTTAACTCCCCTTTTTTATTTTTATTTTTTGCAACCATGTACCAAGCTATTTTATGAAATATACTATCTTTTTGTATGCATTAGGATAACAGGGGTTGCGCTAGGTTTTTTGCCATAGGGGTCCCTGGGACCCTCAGGTCTGATATGGAAGGGCTCCCTGATAATTAAGGGGGTTACTTTCCAAGTGAAGCACAAGGGAATCTGGAAGGGTTCCCCAAAAGGAAAAGTCCACCAATCCATGTGTATTTGCCAACTTAACATAACCAAGCAGTATGATATTCAATCCAGCAGTCTTGGGCCTTCTGCCTACGTGGCCTGGGGGTTTCAGGACCCCTGGGATGTATGGGCAGGAGGCCAGGGCAAGAATTCTAGCCCAACCCCTGGATAAGCTATCTATTTTTTTATTTTTCTAAAACATTAGTAACCTACCTAGAAGTCCTGGATTAGGTAAAGAAATAGTCGAAGGGATTGACAATAAAAATTGAAAAGAGTTAACTCATGCATGAAATTTAAAGGATCGAGCAAGTTGTTAGAGCATTTGATCAATCTAGGGTAAGTTTGATGGTTAGCATATATCAACTTGATGCATGTATCCCAATTAACATATCATTTAAACACTAACAACTTCTAGAAAATTGCTTCATAGATTCCATGGGGAAGTGGGTTGAGGGGAAGAGAAAAAGGTAACTGGCACTTTCAGTGGTCCTACATGCTTGAAAGTATAATTGATTTCAAGATACATTAGTCTGAGCTTGTGGGTCAAATTTCATAAAGGTCACACAGCTCCTTGATTGTGCTTTGTTTTGGTGATGTGTATACACAATTCAACAAATGGTGGAATTGACCACATCTCTAATCTGGGCACAAATTGCTATACCATACTACACTGCTACATCAGGAAATATCCAATTCCATCCAAGCACTGTAAGTATATTTGGTTTTCCAATACTGTGAGTGGTGATGTGATGACACATGTTCAATTACAGGTTCCTGTGATCAAGCCAATGGAGCTGATGGTGGAAGCTAGTCCAAGAAGAATTTTTGGCAATGCCCACACATATCACATCAATGCTATCTCTGTGAATTCAGACCAGGAAACATATTTATCAGCTGATGACCTTCGTATTAACCTCTGGCACCTGGAGGTGAATGACCAGAGCTTCAGTATCCTTTTCATTTCTGTTTCATGCTAGTAATTTTACTAGTCAACCTTGAGGACTCATTGCAAGCCTCATATTGGTTCTTTTATAGCTTTCTTTTAAAGAATATACTATTTGATTACATGAAGGTGATGCGAGATTAGGGAAAGCTATAATTAGAGTGCAAATCATAGATATCATACTGGATTGTTTCCCTGTTCTATTGGTCAATATGCACAAGACCCTAAGTTCTTGCTGAATCAGGAATTATTTTCTCTAGAAGAAAGTGTATCAAAACATAATTGAATGGTTTCTCCTCCATCCACTTGGGAGAACTCAACTTTGTCTACATGGTTGCATAAGAAATGTTTTACTAAAGTCTTTACTATATCTTTATAGATACTTTTCCTGTTAAAAAAAAAATTCATTAGAATGATGTGAAAAGAGTGAAACTAGGTCATCAGGGGAATTAGGTGCTGTCTAAAACCTTGGAAATTTTTTATTAGTATATTTGACTGAGTGAGAAATGCCCTCATCACATTAGTCTTTACTGAATTCCTGCTCTGGAGAAGTTTGTTACCTATACTTCCTGTATGGGAATAGTAGAGTCTACATTGTGATCTTCTAAATGCTGACATTTTATGGTTGAAGCAATAATTTAGATTCATTATTTTATGAGAAAGTGAAGTAAAGTGGAGAACTTTTTATTGCCCTGTTGGGCTTGTGTGGATCACACTTTAAGGCATTTGTATCTGATATATGTAATTTATAATCAGCTAAAGGAAAAGTATCTCTGAACCTTTTTGATCCACAGTTCTGTCATTATTTTTAGGTTCTTGGCCAGAGACACTTGCAAAAGTGCATTAATGTATATTGTATGTAGTTATTCTGCTTGTTCCATGAATCTCAGACTTGTGAGACTGGAATATTGGATACTAGTTGCACTCATTTTGTTGACTCCTTGACTACACAACTCCAGATATTGTTGATATCAAACCTCAGAACATGGAAGAGCTGACAGAGGTGATAACAGCAGCTGAGTTTCACCCAAAAGAGTGCAGCATGTTCGCTTACAGCAGCAGCAAGGGCACAATCCGACTCTGTGATATGCGCCAGGCAGCCCTTTGTGACCGACACGCCAGATGTAAGTTTTTCTGGAGTGAGTTCTAGTGCCTTTATAAAACAAGTTTATTGATGTGGAAAACCATTTTTGATGTTTTTCCTTGGGCCCTCATGCAACATATCAGAAAGAAATCTTTTATGGTAAGGCTTTGGGTATCCAAAAGGCAAAAATAAGTATTAAAAATGTAAGTTTGGTAGTCGTCCTGTTCTGTTATCCTACAGTCTGCATGCAGAGAAACTGTGCTGTCAGGCTTCAGATTGAAAGCAAGCTGAACTGCTTTCCTTCCTTTTTTTCCCCCAATCTGAATTCATCACATGTATGAATAATATAGGCAGAAATAACCCACAAAACTGTTTTCTTCCTCATGACCAGGATCCACATGGATATGATGAATAAAAGTAAGAGAAACGGAAGCACAGGGATGCTCACAACTGGTTAGTATATTTAAAAAAAGAGGGGGAGTAAATCCAATGTTTTGTAAGCGTAATGCCTCCTTCCTCAGGGAGTCTTGTAAAAAAAAAAGTAAAGAAAAAATGCCTAGAATATAGGGGAAATAAAATGTGCTAACAATTAGAAGGAAAAAAAACAGTCATGAACTCCCTTTGACCTCTCTTCTCTTTACTATTCCTTGCTCCCCCCATTGACTCATTCTTCCTTTTGCTTCTGTCATGAGATGATCCCAGTTTGTGTTTCACCTTTTTACCCCCTTTTTGTAACCCCTTGCCTTTTCTAATTTTAATTAACCACTCATATCCTTATGTGCCTTCACTCCTAGTTGATATTTCTTTTCCCCCCCCCCCTTTATTTTTCTAGTTGTTAGCACATTTTATTTCCCCACTATTTTGGGAATTTTTATTTTTATTTTTTTTGACTAGACTTCATGAAGAAGGTGTTACACTTCCATAACATTGGATTTACTCCCCTCTTTTTATTTATACTGACCAGTTGTGAGTGTCCCTGTGCTTCTGTCTTCATATGTAGTATGTTTGGTTGATAGGAGATGATCATTTGAGCGACTAGTACAGGTCAGTGTAGGAAAAGAAAAATTTTTCACACAAACCCGAGGCGACTAAGCGGGTTGCCCACCTGCGTGTCTCTGTTCCCACAAACCTCATTCACAGGTTCGCAAGGGTTTTCCTAGCCTGATATAGGTACATATGGGTGTGGTTAATCTGAAGCACATTTCATCTTGGATCACTAGAATTATTTGCAAAGCTCTTGAAATGCTGTTGAGAAAAAATGTACTGTAATCCTGTAGGAAATTATATGGACCCCTCATGCCCATATACTTTCCTATCATAGAACATGCCTTCTTCAACATGCATGTTGGTGCCTTTTGATTGATATGACTTAGGTTCTCTATGGAATGATTCTTCTTGCTTTTTCCCAAAAGTGTTTGAAGAACCAGAGGATCCAAACAATCGCAGCTTCTTCTCTGAAATTATTTCAAGCATCTCTGACGTGAAGTTCTCAAACAGTGGGAGATACATGCTGTCCCGTGACTATCTGTCCATAAAAGTGTGGGACCTGAACATGGAAACAAAGCCTGTTGAAACATTTCATGTGAGTCTGCCTTCTAGTTTTGCTTCTTAAAAGTGCAGGGTATTTTATTATTGCCCTTCAAATAACTGAAGTTTCAAATGGAAGAACTTTTCTTCTACTACCTTTCCCACTGGGTGCTAATGGGGAATTTGTCTGCATCTAGTGTCAAGGAACTGCTCCAGAGGATTTACTTTAGGGGGGGGGGGGAATATGCTATGTTATTCATTCAATGAGTGATTATGGATATTTTATGTTATGTGTTGTACTGGCAAAAATATGGCTGGAGGAGATAGCATTTAATTCCTTCCATACCCCTAAAAAGTATAGAGATTTTTAATTGGAAGATGAATAGGACAACCAGTCATGTTGATCAACATCTAAATCCATGACTTGAGACCTTGCAAAAGGTTGCCACATTTTCCAATGTGTCATCTTTCTTAGGGGCTTAAGTGAAATATTACCACATGTCCCAACCAGATCAGAAATAATTAATTTCTTGCTCAATTTTGAAATATGACTTCCCAAACTTGGTAGTTCTCATTAGTAGAGTGAGCCCTCCTTATGACAATTTTAGGACAGTTTAGTTTCTTTGAACTTACATGAGGGCATATGAAATTATTTCCATATTGATATTATGAAAATAAATAATATACATGGATAAATAATTAAACCTTGCATAAAAAGTTGTCCTTTTGAATTAATACAGAATCACCAAAACCCATGTTAATACAGGGGAGGAAAAAGACATTGCTTGCTCAATAATTTTTTTATTTATTGAGAAAAGAAGGGGGATCACTCCTTTAAGCAAGGTGAGTAATTCTACAGCCATGCACTAATAATAAGAGTGAAGTAAGAAGGCCCAGTAGTTGTGTGCTCATGAGAATTCAGGAGGGTCTAGTTCGTTTTTGGAATGAAGCACCTGTGCATACTCTAGCCATTTGCACCCATATTATTATCCAGACATCACCTTATGAGATCTACCTCATAAGGAGGTAAGTATTCATGATGGAAGTGAGCAGGGATGTGTCTTATATGTAAAAGGCTCTATTTTCATCTGGAATCAGACAAGACTAACAGCATTCACTCTCAAAAGTCCTGAATTCTAATCTTAATCAGTGTCACTGGCTGCTTCCTGGCCTACTTCAATCTTTTTCATCAGATTAGTCTAAGTTTTGCTTGGAAGCAAATGAGTTGCAGGGAGAGGGTGATCAGTCCCAACTTGCCCTCCTCTCCCCCTTACAATGAGTGTGCCCATGTAGTTATAAACTTGCTGCATCACTGCCTAAATTGAAGATTTACAGTGCACTTGAGAAGGGTGAAAGGATTGGATTGGGTCTGCTTTGCCATGAAGGGTATCAAATTTGCATTCACAATTGGTAACCAAGTTAATTAGTGGATCATGTATAGGGTGGTGCAAAAGTCGCACACCAAAGGGTAATTTACAGTAAATGTTCTAATCATTTGCCATTAACTTGAAAACACTTCGATTCATTGTACACATATCTTAACTCCACCCTCTCATCTTTTTTAAATGTTACTGCCATCAGTTACTTACAAAGGAAGTAATAAGAATTAGTGTAGTGCAACAGTGAAATCCTCTATGGTGCACAACTTTTGCACCACCCTGTACATGAGCAATAACTGGAATGAGTGGATATTTAAAACATTTGAAGAGTCAATGACCCAGTGAATTTAATACTCAAAAGTTAGACCCAGACTTGATTTAATGTTACTTAGCATCTTGCTGTCATTCCTAGAAAATGTTTCCTTGGCAATTGAGTGAATGAAAGTTGCTCTCATTTCAGGTTCATGAGTACCTACGATCCAAGTTGTGCTCCCTCTATGAGAATGACTGCATTTTTGACAAGTTTGAATGTTGTTGGAGTGGGAATGATCAGGTTATCATGACCGGATCATACAATAATTTCTTCAGGTGAGTGCCCAAACTTTTGAGGGATCATCACTTTCATGGAAAGGTGTTTTACAGGTTTGCATACAAAAGCTTTGTTGCTATTATTCCAACTCTCCAATATCAGAGAGTCTGTTATCATTATTGATACTAACCCCAATACATGAAAAGAATCACTCAACCAGCCTCTCTAAACTTGTACCTCTTCCTTCTCCCATGACATTGAAGACATGCCATCATGTAAATTGGTTTCTGGACATTTGAAGTAGAAATCTCAATGCAATGGTTTTTTATGGTATGTATGCACCTAACTCAAGTACTAATTTCATGCCTATAAAACATTAAAAAGTTGCAGATGTGCTACTGATAAATTTGAAATATATAGTACATGTTTTATCTGTGAGAGCTTTATAAGTCTAATTCTTGTACAAGATGACAATGGTTGATCATTCCTGTGATGGCAAGACCCTTTCTTTCTCAAGAATAGCATAATTTCTGGTGTTTTTAGATGAAATCTTTCACTGGAATGAAACCTTTAAATGCTGTGCATTGAGATTGAGATTTTGCATGTCCCTTGTTTTAGTTGCAGAAATTTTCTCAATTTCTCTATCAAGGAGGGTTTTAGACTAAGATGTACCAGGGATGTCCCATGGAATTTGATCCAACTGTCCAGCTGAGTTCTAAATTGATCACAATATGTTCACAATCCAATCCAAACCAGTACAGTATGTTTGAGTTTATACAAAATAAATTACCAGTACATCATGAGAAAAGAATGCACACCTGGAGTGGAGTAGAGCTGAATTTATTGGTCATGTTTGAGCAACTGTCTACATTTTAAACTTCCAATCTTTGTCAGCAAACATCATATTCAAGTAGACAAGAGTGAAATTTTAATTTGTTTTCTTTTCTAGGGTATTTGACAGAACAACAAAGAGGGACGTGACACTGGAGGCATCAAAGGAGATTGCAAAACCCAAGACAATACTCAAGCCCAAGAAGGTGAGTTATGGCTTCCATCCATATCTCCTGTCATTAGTGTAGCAATTTTCCATGGAAATAACTTGAGAGTTATTGGCTGATGAGGTGTATCAAATTCTTCACTTCTCATACATAAATGGAAACTCTCACTTAAATTACACTCATAGCAATGTAATTTCAATAATTACCATTCCCATAATCCCTCAATATTGTCTCGAGAGATCCTTTAAAATATTGCATGTATTTATTAAAATTATTAATTTTATTTTAAATTCTTCAAATCAAGGCTTGATTTTATGGTTGGTTCAAAGTTTAGTAATACTTTAAATGGTCTCACCTGTAGTGTACGTTTTTCCTTCATCTCCCAGGATTCTTATTCAAAACATTCATCCTCAATTTTACATTTGCACGGTTATTTCAGTCTTTGAGATGTCATCCCACAGATGCCCAGTGTGCAAGTAGGCTTAGACCTTAGCTGTTGCAAACATGGGTCCTCTCTGGACCTACAACTCAGCACTGAACTTAAGTAGCTGCTGCTGGTATGCATCTCAGGACTGGTCTCAGCTTTGAGTGGGTCCAGTCTCATGAAATCTGCTATTCATACTGTCAGATGTAATTTTCAGGAAGGTGACACCAAATTGTAGAAACCTTTTTTTTTTATTATCTAAGCAATGTTTAACTTTCCACAATCAATACAGATAGGGTTCTACATATCTGAATGTAGGCTGAGAAATAGAACTCTTGCCAGAGGTAGTAGGCTGCTGTATTGGGTCAAGATTCTAGCCATACAATCAAAGGGACATGTGACCCTTGGACAAAGCACCAAAATATACCATTCCAAAAAAAAGTAAAATAAAAGTGTTTCTGCCTTCTTGAATGAATATAACCTTCTCCCTATTTATTGCCTTAGAATTCCATACTGCAATCATGGCAAGTTCCATTGTTGGAAAAATCTCTTCCTCTTCTGATTCAGTATACAACAGTTGCAGGAGTCTTGACAGAGTGAAGTAGGAACAGATGAGTCTGTTCCACCCCCAGCTTCCCAACTGCTGAGTGTTTTGGCATTATATATTTGTCCTCCATGCCCTTGTTTTTGTAATTAACCCTGTTTATCTTTCAGTTTACTCTGTTTGTCTATGGCTTAGCCTGTATTTTCCCAATTTGCCATATCTACCCTGCTCTAAATGTAAATAATTTTCCACAAGTGCATAGGTCATAGACATTTGGAGATGGTGTGACAGCATCCACATCAACCAACATGAGGGAATGAATACTATTTGATAACCAGTATACCAAAAAATAGACTAATATGCAGATAATCAATCCATCAGTAATCAGGAGTGCAGCATTTCATGTAATACATATCCCATATGTGGCAGGAGCCCCAGTGCCAATTCCTTTTTTACTTTTTTTTGCATCTCTTGAGCTTGTTCACCAAAAGTGACTGATTTGTGAACTACTAAAACTTTGAAGGGTTTTCTTAACATTGGCTTCAGCCTATTACTGCATTCCAGAAGGTATGATGTCTGGTAGATGGGATGGGTTTCTAAAGCGCATCCCACTACAGGAGAGGGAATTTTTCACTTGGCCTTCATACAGGTGAATGCTGGAGGGAGGCGAAAGCGTGATGAAATAATGGTGGAGTGCTTGGATTTCAACAAGAAGATTCTTCACACTGCTTGGCATCCAACAGAAAACATCATTGCAGTTGCTGCCACAAACAACCTTTATCTCTTCCAGGATAGATTTTAGCAATAAAGACGCTTAGGTATGTTGGATGCATGTTCAAGGATTACTGAGAAATGCATGATCGGTTGAATTTGGCAACTCCTTTTCTCTACTCAGGTTCTTACAAGACATGGGTGGAATTGGAGGCGCTGACGGCAAGAAACCGAGAGCCTGGTTTCTCTTTTGCCCACAAGATGAGATGTTATTTTTTTAGACAATAAGCTTGCCATACCAATACCACCCAGCCCTGCAGGCAGTGTCCACAGGTTGGCTTTATTGGCCACCTCTTCCTATCAACACCTGCTACCATGAAGACAGGGCACACCTCGCTCTGCCCATTGTGACCTCCGTTCTCAGTTCTGTGAACTCTTTTTTGTGCATCATCTTCAATTCCCTACAACCTCTCCCTTTCATCTGACCTGCTGCCCTTCACCATCATACTTCTATCTATGTCTTTTGTTGTTGTCTCCTCTTCCTGTGACTTGCCTGTGACAACTTGCTTGAGTAATTTCTGTATGGTCATTGAAGGCAACACTCCACTGGGACCCATGCACTTTCTCCTATTGCCCGAAAGATGCTAATTGTATTTTGTGGGCAGTCCCTTTCATGCATAATGTTGGTGTTGAATGAAGATGAATGGTCAAGCTCGTTTTGGATAAATGGAGCTGATATTGTTTGTGGCACAGGTACAGTATATTCCACATGAAAGTCTTCTATTGTATTTTTGTCACATGCCCCCTCATCTTGTTTGTACCCCCGCATTCTAAAGAATGTAATGCTTTTCAATGTCATGTGTCAGGTGATTGTGGATCATCCTTCTTGGGATCAAGAGCCAGGGATAATTGTCAAATGCCATGATGTCACGTCGTGTGGTTGTGTGATGCCACACGTGATCGTTACGAATATGCCAGTACCTCCCCAGACTGTTCCCTGGTCCTACTCCATTGGTGTTATGTAGGCGTCAAAATATGTGGCTGTTGAACACGGTGCCTGGTGACATGTTAAGAGAGGCACTACATGCTGTAGAGTGTGATGTATTAAGGGTGACTCGTGTAGCCTCGTTCAAATTACATGGAATGCGTTTTATAATTAGCAAGATCGTCCTCTGTATTTTCTGTGTCACCTTCAGGTGCTCTCTCACCCTCCCTCTTGATCCAACTTAGCAAAAGTCAGTATCTGTCTAACTAGGAACTCTCAACATCATATGTTCTGAATCACTGCAAAGAAAATCATTCTCCATATGATGTTTAATACAAAGTGTTTGCATTTGGAGTGTTGAACCCTTTTTTTTTATTATTTGGTTACCTATTGTGTAAGTTGCATTCTCTTATATTGTGCATTCCAATTGTTGAGGAAGAACTTACACAGTTGGTGTCATCATTTACCATAACTCACTCCAGTTTTTCTGTCTGTAATTGTTTTGTAAGTGGTATCCTTGCAATCGATTGATGGCATCAGTCTGAATTGGCTGATTGTCTGACCTCTATGAATGTGGTTTCCTGCATCAGTCATTCCTGTACAACAAGAAAAAAATTTGAAATTTCACAATTTTTAAGATAATGCATCTTTGCATAATCATTGCAATGGAGACATATGAGACCCTTATATCATTTTCTAATAAGGAGAAGGTGACTCCCTGAGATATAGTGTAATTCAAAAGTTGGATCCATGAAAGATGGACCATCCCAATCATAGCTTGTATCAGTCAGTCTTCGGAATTCTAGCTCTTTTGTTCAATTTGTTTCCTGCTGTGACCATGTGATCCCTTGATGTAGATATCAAGTGGCAGCATTATTATGGAGTGCATGCTCAAGAATCATATGTTTCATGGTGTAAGCCTCGTAATTCAAGATAATCATGCAAGATAATCATGCTCTACATTGACTCTTGCCTCTCTTTTTTGTCATCTAGCGTGAATTAGTTCCAATCCAAGATTCCTTGAGTTGGTCAAATTAGAATTTCTGTGATTTTTTTAGACATTTCAATGGTGTTATCTTCCATGAAGTGGTATCCAAATCACGAACAATGTCCCTCTTGATTCGGGGACGATGGCAGTGTAGTACGCTGTAGAGTATATGGAGGTGCAGTTGATTCAATATGAATGATTTAGCAATCGATTTTTGGATTTTTTGTCGTATCTGCCCTTTTATTTAAGGTCTTTATCGTGTGTTGCACCCAGGTGAGGGATTTTTTAAATGCATTTTGTCATGTTGGAATATAGTTGTACCTGAAAGTGCCAAATAAAGCAGAATAACTGCAGTTCTGAAGTTTTCAGAGGCGCTGACTGCTCCTTAGGTCTTAGGACAAAGGACAAGCATTAAAGTATATTTTGCGCTGAAAGCCTCCGGTTGTTGGAGGGAATAGCAATCTCATAGTGGGAAGGGGGGGGGGAGAGAGTTGTTGGAAAGCAATTGATAAAAGTAAAGTAAAGGTAAAGGGAGTTAGCAAGAGCAAGCGCGAAACAGAGAAGAGTAAACTACCCTTACCCTTTGTGTCACCCCTGAAGCAACATATAACATTTATGAAGTCTAGATTCTCGGAGGACCTGTTCGTCTATACCTGTTGATCCTCCCCTCCCCCCTCTAGCAATGCTACTGGTAGGGAGAGGGTGTGCTCCGCGCCCTGGTGCGCTAGATTACAGGGGCCTGGTGAGACAGGCGTTGTTTCCCCTGATTTTTTATGGGGAAGCATTCGAGCCCTAATCCGCTCGGTAGCATTGAAATAGGCAGGCGCCGAAAAAAAAAAAAGGCGAAGCGGATACGCAGAGGATTTTAGGGACGATCGGCATTATCCCTCGACCCTCAATTGCCGAGGTGGTAATAGGAAACCTTCCCTGATCCAGTCGTGGATTTGAGGGGTCGGATCACAAGAGGAGGAAATCCTATTCTCGGCTTTCGCCCTGCAATTTCCACGAGGACGTGATTAAGCTTGAAGCGATCTCGACGGTGCACGTCTCGTCAGGAGGAGTTTTCGTCCTCATCAGAAGTCCAGACGCAAATCTTTTTTTTTTTCCCTCGCGAGGGGCCCGTGGGCCATGCCGCGTTCATCAGCTGCGGCTAACGAACCCCACGAACGTTTCTATTTGAAGGCAAGAAATTCGATGAGGAAGCACGCTGTTCATTCACGCGAGAAAATTTCAACCGAGCTGGATGCTTGGACGATTTCTTGCTCCGTTCCGCCGTGCGTGTTCTATCCGTCTTGTCTCCATACCTCGGTTACTGGGGACAAACTCCGATCGGCAATGACTGATGGAGAAGTCCAGGCATGACGCGGTCCCTTCTCTCCAAAAAAGCAAAAGGGAGGGGAGCGGTGAGGAGCCCTCTTGGTACCCCAAGATCACACGATGGCTTTTTTTCATCACTTCTGTCGACGATTCGTTCCCTCCGATCCATAAACGCGGTCGGGTTCGCGGCAACTCCGAGCGACGTGATGAGCGTCCGCAATCGCAGGCGACGCAGGATGAAGGTCTTCCATCGTTCCGCGTCCCGACCGTCGGGATTCCGACTGGATGCTGGAGGCCCCGATCATCCCGGGACGACGTCGAACCTCTCCCACTCGCATGCGAACAAGAAAGTGCGAACCGCGAGGACGAAGAGCGACTCGCATGGAAGCTGCTCGCCGGAGAGGTCCTTGCCGTAGACGGCCTCATCGGCGAGAGTCGACTACTTCAGCGAAATGGGGTTCCTCTTCGTCACCTCGCGAGCATGCAGCGGCGCCGGATGACGTCGGCACGCGTGTTGCTCGTGCGGACGAGTTCGCGTTTCTAGTGTATGTATTACGTGTATGATGTATACACGTGCATTCGTACTTTAACCTGTGGTCCGAATGGTTCTCTTCCTCGGATTTCACCCGTGTCCCCATTTCGTGGAGCATCCGGCCTACCGAATCCATGTACGCACGGGTGATCCGTCCGGAGCGAAGCCCATCATGCAAAGCATCTATACGGAAATATAATTTTCCGTCTGTCGGTTCCCGCGCTGCGTCCAAGCCAAAGCGGAAGAATTTTCTTTCATCTTTTTGATGGATGGATGTTCCAAAAAAAAAAAAATCGGAAACTATGAAGAGCATAGAGGTGCTTCTGACCGGAAAATTAAAGTATCGTCTGAACGATTTCATCAGTTACGCTATTTTATATGAATTCCGTTGGAGTTATTGCTTAAGCTTGTCGTCCCAAAAGTTATCCGAAACCATGAGAAGTCGTGCTATATGAAAAATATGGCCTTCATGTGTCTCCAGGACCAAATGGGACAAATCAGAGTTTCGTTTGAAAGTCTCCAATGATCAAGCCGCAATGTAAAAGGCTGGTCGCGCGGAGGATGCCCTCCCGGCAAAAGTGGGAGGCTATTGCTCGCCTGCTTCGCGAGTGCCTCCCCGTCTTCTTTCGTCTCAAAGGGAATGAAATCCTTTTCCCTTCCCCTTTCTCCCTTCCTGGAAACCTGATCGCGAAAGGGTCTCATTTCACCTCGGAACCTATTGTGGACTCGGGCTATTCTTAACTCTCGACTCGACTTTGGTGGTGGTGGTTTCCATCGATTTGTTTCTGCCCTCTGAAGTGTCTCAGGCCCTCAGAAATGTAATTATTATTATTACCAGGTGAGTTCGTCCTGAGTTCGGCAGGGAAATGTCTGGATGATGGGAACGAAGGAACGCCCTCCAGTCGAGAGACCATACCGTCCTCACCCCCTTCATTTTTCTTGGGCCTTTTTGCCTGTCATCCCGTCCTCGGGCTCACGGAATACGAATGAAGACGGGGGAAAGGACCGGAAAAAATGCTAATGAGAGAAATTTAATCAGCAGCCCCATCGACTCACGCACAGGCACAAGCACGTACGCAACATTCCCTCTCTCACGTACCCACACCCGAGCCCGCTCACCCGCAGTCACGCACATCCGCGCACGGTCACCTGCACGCGCACGTCCCCCCGCGCGCTCCCACACGCACTCCCGCACCCATACGCGCGGCACGAAATGGTTCCGCACACGGGCTCCTTGGGTCCATCCTGGAGTCAACGAACTCTTACTAGGTTATGGGGCCGAGATGGGCATGGGAAGGCTCATAGTGGGCAGTCCGCCTCTGCCCTCCACCTCCGTTAGACCTACATCCGAGCACTCGGACCAAAAATACCTCGTCCGGGTCATTCACGCCCGGCAGGGACTCCCACTCGTGTCTCTGACCCGAGGCTCCGACTTCCTGCACGGAAATACACCCTGCATAATGATTAAATCAGCAGGGATTCCCTGCATAATAGATCAGCTGTGGAGCTGTGTCAGCTGTCGGGAAGTTCTTCCACTCTCGGAAGTGCTTTCTTAATGTTTTCCTAATGTCATTTCTATTAACTAGTATACGATAATCGTCGTTAAGCTTTTTTTTTTCTGCCACTATATATTAACCAGTAATCGTATCGATCCATTTATGTCGCTATCAGTCAGTAATTGCTATTGATACTGGTATCACTTTTCATCCAGATGGCAGTAGATGAGAGAGCACGAGGAAACGAGCCATCAATCGATCACAGCTCATTGCTTCATTTAAACTGACTTGTAGCCCAGCAGCTAGTCCTTTGCCAGTAATTTACTTCCTGGTGGCACAACTCGAATCCTCAGCTGTTCGGACATTTGCTCGAGAAAAGATGGGACATAATTTGTTTCGACCCGTTGTAGATCGTTTCTTCCACTTGTGTCGATGGTGTAGTGCAAGCTAAGGAATAAGATCTCGTACATTAGGGACAAGTTTGCCGATGAGGAAGGCGTATTTTCGCGACGGATTTATAAGACTCCCCCCTCTTGCCAAAAGTAAGGTTCGGAAGGTCGACTCCGTTCATCGGAGAAATTCTCCCAGGCCAAAAATAAACGCCATTGTACCTGTTCGAGTAGCACTCTCCCTTCGGCCCAGTGGCAGGCAGCGATCGACGCGAGCGTGATATCGTGGCGGAGGCGGCAGGGTAGCAATGCAAGTCGAGCGTCCACCAGAAATTCATGTCATTGACCCGCGACTTGCCTTTCCAGAAGCTGTTCCCGCAGTAGCGAGCCACGACGCAAGTTTGCTACAAACGGCGTCGAACTGTCCGAGTTGTGTTACTTGAGTAGTCGACAAGACATCCGATGAGCCTTGCCGTCACACGGTATAAACTTTCCTCGTCGAAGTTCATTTCGCGCGAGGCGAAGGCCAGATGCATGGTGTCGCGAGGAAGGAGGAGGTCATGGCTGCATACACTGTTTACACTACAGTCTCTCACGATGAGTTCACACACCCCTATATGGGTGCTGATGCTACTGGTGTTTTGACTACCGAATACCAGTTCGCGTAATGTGTAAGACAGGGGGAAACTTTAGTTCCGCTGGCGTCGGTAAGCCGGTACTAAACAATGGTTTGCTCGGAGAGGGTGAGTGACCTCATCGCGAAATCTCTGTGGGTCATCGTCGTACTTGGGAAAAAGAAGTCCCGCCCTTCCGATTCAGGCAACCGTCACTCGAGACTTTCATATGCATTGTATGGTAAGTTCGTGCAGATATAATAACGATTAAAACAAAGGGTGAGGGTCATGACATCGTCTATGGCTTCAATGACCTGCATCAGCCAGCCATGTGAACTTGAGAACGTTAACTTGTTTTAGAGCAACGCATGAGAGCAAAAGAAAGCAGATATGATAGATGTCATTGTACATTGAGCCTCCAGAGCGTGGGGGTGGGGGGGAATGTGTCCACCCTCACCCTTTCGCGTGACAGAGCTCTCTCGCCGACCCGACATTCTTCCATGCCGAGGAAAAACGAAACAGGGGGCTTCGAACTAAATGGTGGGAGACCGGGGAAGGGGGAAGGGGGGGGGGGGGGCAATCAGAGGATTAGCTCTAGTTCGTAGATACAGTATTTCCAAACCCCTATAAGGATATGGGAGGAGGATGAAAGGTAGTTTTAATCAGCTCACTCTGACCTTGTCCAACCCCTTCCAGAACGTATTCCCTTATAGACAAGATCACTCCTCTTCCTTCCTCCTTTCTCCCTTCCTGGAAACCTGATCGCGAAAGGGTGTGCTTGTTTTCTTTTTCTTTTCTTTTTTTCCTTAAGGCTCCCAGTCTTCCTTGCTGATGTGCATTTCACCATGCCTGCAGCCACATTTCTTCTTTTTTCTTCTCCAGCCAGGCAGACGATCTGTGGCTGGGATTTGTTTGCGTAAAGATATGAAGATATTGCCAGACGTGCAACAATTAACACCTCAGGTAGCACAATATTTAGGGCCA